GTAAACAGAAGAGTGATTCAAAGATGATAAAGAGATAGACAAACAGATACAAAGGCAGCAGAAAGGTAAGATTAGTACGATAGTAGTGGTCGAAATGACATACAGTGGGGTGATGACAATTTGAAGTCAGAAGTCAACAGCCGATTTATAGACTTTTTTTGCTGTTTGAGATTTGGTTGCTCAGGGTGCACCACGTGGAGGTAAGTCTATCGCACCCCTTATATTTTTCCAAAATAAGAATATTGGAAGTTAGTAATTGGGCATCTCTGACTGCCTCAAACAATCAAACAAGTTATTTTAGACTACCAAATCATACACAAATTCGAGGGATCAGAAACTTGCTAGATGTGTATTCCTCAGCACTAGTTTAGTGATTACTTAGTAATCAGTTAGATGATCGCATTGATTGCAGGAGGGGAACTCGTTGCTTAGGTGATGAAATGCAATGCAATTAATCTATCCACCTTGTTCTTCCCCACCCGTCCATCATTTAGAAATACGACTTTTCTCTCAATCTCTGGTCCCTCGGTTGCGTGTCTGCCATGCTTGTCTTCAAGCAGAGCTTATTTGCTGCAGACAGTGAGGGTCGATCTCATTTGGTGCATTTCGTGGCGAAGTACCACCCTCCCTTAACTCACTCCTTCCATGATGTGGACATAGCTGAGGAAGGTGTTTCATTGTCGAAGTTTGAAACCAAGGAGAATTTAGGACTCACAAGCCCTCACTCTCTGAATTTGCTCTGACATTTCCTTCAATTTGGCTACCACGATAGTGTAACTGCAAAAACGGCGTTGCAACACAACTCCGTTTCGCAATCACCACCTTGAATTCATTTAATTTAATTTGTCATTGTATCAAGTGTGCATTCTCATTTGTGTGAAGTTATAATTAAATCACTATCCTTGTGCATACCACTTGTCTCCGTTTTAAGGAGATTTTCGTGAAATTGTTCTTGAATTCATCAAGTGCAGCTACGTTTGTGGATATTTTTCACTCAATCAGCATTGCGTAATCGACCTTCTCTCCCAACCTCTTGAAAAGGGGCAATTCATACGCTGATTGAGATTTTGCTCAACTTCTGAACCCAAAACACGAAGAATTTCTTTACTTCTCTCTCTCTCTGTCTGATATTACACCTCCCCCACAACCAACTATACATTTTCATATCAACTTGACTTGTCTTTGAAAAACCATGTTGCTCTTCTTCACTGCTCATACTCAATCATCCATGCTCTTTAAGACCATACACTGTTGGTTGACAAGCTTACTCGTAAATTTTAACAAATGTTTATTTGATTGGTCCAACTGTAGTGTTTTCCTGCTTACCATTACTGACATTGTGCAAATCACTTTTTCTACATTTTATTAAGCCTTCAGGGGAAAATACGTCGAAAGTAAATTGGATAAGGGAATCCATAGTCAAACACTACATTTACCTAATTGGGCTTTCATCAAGGAAGTTGCGTGCTTGAAACATTATAAATCACATCGATTTCAATGCTGCTGCGTTGAACTTTACTCCGAGATAAGTGAGCTCGTCAATATTTCTACAGAAGTGTCCGTGCACCTTAAGTGTGGATTTATGTCGTGGTGAGTCAATTGAAATGATTGAATTCGGTTTTCAAGGTGTTGGTAACCATCCCGTTGTTGTCGCACCATGTGGTAGGCCTGCTTGCAAGCTATTAGATTTGGACAGACGGTTCCTATGTCTGGCTTTACATGTTCATTGTCCAATGAATGCCTTTATCCAGTTTAGCAGATTACGTTTCATAATAGTATTCGCCACTTTTAACATTGGGTTCTCTTTCCATACTAAGTCATATGTTGATATGAAATCCACAAATACAGCGGTAAGAGTATTTCTTGAATCAAGGACACCTTTGATAAGTTGGGAGAGAATGATTACTTGTTGATTTGGTCATATTTGTGATCTTAAACCTGCATGTTCGTTTCTTAGGATGTTGTTAGTTTGAAAGAACCAGGTCCGCCTCGTTTTCACCATTCTTTCCATAGGTTGAGCCAACATGCTTGTGAGGGTGATAGACCTATAGTCGTCAAAATTGTTGAGGTCAATGCCGCCTATT